CCTCAAGCTCTGGATAGAGCTGCTCATCATCCGGCCCTCCTCGCAGTACATCGTGGCTCTGGTCTTCGCTACCTACCTGCTCAAGCCCATCTTCCCCACCTGCTCGGTGCCCGACGAGGCTGCCAAGCTGGTGGCCTGTCTCTGTGTCCGTAAGTACCTGCAAACCCTCTCCAGATGCCTGCTGGACTGCTGTCCCACGTGGCTCCTCGCTCCCATCACCTTCCTCAAAAAGTCTGCCCGAGCAGCTCGCTGCCTTGAGCTGTGGAGGAGATGCACCATCTCTCCTGTGCTAAACTGGCTCCATACTGGTTTTTTTTTTTTTTTGGGTTGTTCTGAACAGCGTTGAGTAGGAAACTCGGCCCCATCCCAAATAAATTGAGCAAAAAATTCCCAAACTGCCGGTGACGGGCTAGGGAGTCTCTCTGATTTCTGGCAACGCGGTGAGCAGCGTGCGATGAGGGCGACGCGCGTTTTGCCGCCGCGCCGGAGTGGGGTTTTCGTGCCCTCCCGCGGGAGCGTGGTGGGGCAGGGTGAAACCCCCGTGCAGCGTTTCTGGGCGGACACAGGTCAGGATAACGTGCCGCCGGGAAATTATCTGTCGTGAGCAACTGGTGCTGAACACGGCCCGTGCTGCGGTGCCTGCTGTTTTCAGCACCAGTTTCTCGGCTGTGTGTGCGCTGATACCGTGCTCAAAACTTGTTTGGTTTGGGGTTTTTTTTGCTGGCAAACCTTGTATCTCATGAGGCTTTGCCTTGCAGAAAAGTTCAGTCGTGCTGTGATGAATTTAGGGCCGTTGATGTCTGCCATGGCACGCAGATCTCTTCCTCCTGATGCAGATTTTATCATCTCTCTGGTGTTTTGAGATGTGTGATTTTGCCAGTGAAGCCTCATTGTCCATTCCTCTGGTGATGGCAAAGTCACCCCATCCAAATTCCTCGTTCTTTAAATACCCACTTTCTGCCTTTCTCTCCTCATTTCCTATTCAGTCCGTGTTCCCCTCCACTGGTAGTCCTTGTGCCATTGTGAAGGTGGATATTGTGAGAGGATGTAGTTTTTTGTGAGAATTTTGTGAAGCGTTTCTTTGCTGTACAAAGTTACAATCAGGTGATCTTTTTATTTTTATTTTTTTTTTTTCATTTTGAGGTTGTGAAGAGAAGTCTGCTTGTTTGTGCTGTCCAAAGGGAGATTGTGTTAGATGCCTTCACCCTCTGAGGATCACAGGCATTCCAAAGTTGCAACACATGGTCATTAGGGGATGATATATTGTCTGTAAATGTATTCATACACAAACTGATGGAGTACTTATTTCCCAGATAAATTTTTAGGAATATCAGGGTAAGTATACAGGCATGTGGAGTTTCCGTCCGAGTTAAGGACATATAGTCACCCAACTAAGCATGCTATAGCAGGGTTAGCAAATATTTCTGCTGATGGGTTGCTTGCCTTCAAGTGGGGCCTTGTGAAAAATCGGGTTTTAGAGTTTTCCTGCCAGTCTGCAATGTGGTTTCCCTTCTCTCAGAGAAAAGGGGTGGCGTGCAGGTGTGTGGTGTTCCCATTACTTGCTGAGAAGCTAACAGAGAGTTGATTAGATGGGCTTTCTTACTGGTTTGGGTCAAAATCTTGCTGTGCAAGAACATATTGTACTTGAGAAAACTTTTGAGAATGTGTTTCTAATAACAAGTAACTTTTCATCTACAGGAACTTTCCCAAAATAGGTGGGATGAGGTGTCTCTGTTATCATTTCACTGATGAGAAAACAAATACAGGGGTAAAGTAGACTTGCCCATGGCAAGATCTGGTCAGTGACAGGGTGGATTGCAGCATGAAATTTCTTCATGCCAGGTCTCATTCCCACTTATACCTCTCCAGTAAGTAATATAAGTATCTCCAACTTTCTTTTTCTAGCAATTAGTAGTTTTCCTGAAGCAGAATTTGTTCTTGAGCCTTTATCTTGAAATGCCAAGGAAAGAGTTGGTAGTTCTACAAATCTGCATCATTTCCATGTGTTTCTTCTTTAACCTTTACTCCCCCCTGCGCCGCTGGCTTCTGGTTTGTTTATGCTTTGGGTTAAATTTTTGTTTGTCTCCTTTGCTGAAAAAGGTTAGTTCATCATGCATTGCCTTCAGCAAGTTAGTTTTCTGTAACTTTGATTTTTGGAGTTAGCTTTTCTACTATCTAGTGCCAAAACCACATCATGGACTAGGAACAGTAAATTAAGTAAATCTGGTCCAAGGACTTGGCGAGTCCCACAAAACTTCTATGGACTGACAGGCGGCTTTGTTACATGGCTGTTCCAAACATACCCCTACCCAGTGAGATATTATTTTTTTCCAAAAGCTCTGGGTTAGGAAAAATGGTTTATTTGTGCGTACGCTCTAGAGCGTACGTTAACGAGTTATCTCTAAGAGGGAAGAACGATTTAGGAAGCAATAGGGGAATTTGGGGCCCTGGGCTGGAATACAGTTGAGTTATTACGTAGCCAAAACCCAGCCATCTAGAACAGTACCAGCTGTATTCTCTGCAAAGTTTGTATCTCAACATAAAATGCAATTGGCTGCCTGGTTTCTAGTAAGAGGAGAAATAACAAAAGTTATTTGTTTCCCCTTTGAGCATTCCTGGTGTTGAACAGTTGAATAAATAATGTGTTGTTTGGTATTTGCCACCATGAAGTACAGAAATTGAATTCCTAGGCATTAAGATAATCTAAATAAATCACAGTCTTGAAAGAAAGGCAAAATAGTTGGAATAGGGACTTTTGTTCCCCTCGAGGTGCTGAGGAAAACAAAGTGGGTGGTAAGTAGAATTTAACTACAAATAGGTGTTTTCCTGCTATCAAGATCGTAATCCGCAGACAGTTGGTGTGCCAGACTACTTCTTCCACAAGACAACGTGAACACTGATTATGGTTGCCAACTAAAAGTGTGGAAATTCACTACAGAGAAGGCTCCCTGTAGCAGGATGGGTGAAGCTGCTCACCGTTAGCGTGGCTTATTTGATCTTCACCGCGGAGCAGCCAGTGCTCCCTAGTTGTGAGAATGTGCAGGTAGTTTGGCTTAATGCTTTTCAGGCTGCGGGTTGCTTGGGTAACTCATAAACTGCGTGGTGTTTCATCTGTGAGGTTGGGTGGCTGATACTTTTAGGATTGATTAACTGTAAAAGCAGTGCTAAAGGCTAGCAAATGTAAGGTCCACCTGGTACGCAAGCCTTTTTTGAAAAGGAAACGTAAAAGTTCATGAAGCTGAGAATTTGTGCCTATGTGTGAAAACTCAACAGTTATTTGAATTCCCCCAAACATGATCTCGTCTAAAACCATTTTACACCTTCTACAGAGGATGAAGGGACAGTTACTAGGTCCTGATGATCTTTGAGGTCCCTTCCAACCCTAACCATTCTATGATTCTATGACTTCTCATATTTGGTGACATCTACGTTGCAGTATCAGTGTTGTACATGTCAAAGAATTAAACTACTAAGGATTCTCTACTCTGTTTCGGGTGGCATTTGAGGCTCTGTGAATAAATGAAAATCCATTCTATTTGTTGTTGATTTCTCTTTTTTCTCTTGAGAAAGCATCACGGTGGAACCTACACTCGCACTGCATTTCCAACATACTTGTATCTTTTTCTGCAATTTTCTCCAATTTATTTTCACTCCGGATTACGAAAATACACACTTTTTAATAGAGTGTTGAGGTAGCAAGTATGGTTTTGAAAGAACTTATTGTTTATATGTGTTGCAGGACTGTCTTCACATAGCAGGAGGATCATGTGAAACTGTTTAATCCTGTCTCTTTTTCCCATTGAAGAGGTGGCCTGACCAGTGACGTGGAACAGCATCCAGTTGAAAGTACATCTCTGATATCTTACAGTGCGAGTGGGTCAGATTCTCTTTTACAGCTGGCAGCCATTTGTGTTAACATTTCTTAAATTTCAATGGATAAATCTTAACAAAAACGATTACAAAATCACAGAGCGCAACCTACTACACAGCGTGTGTTCTAGAGATGGACAATTTCAGCTTATCCAGTTAGAGACAACATGCATATTCCTTATTTTCGCCTGTGGATTTGCAGAATTCTTACATGTGAGAGGTCTTGTGGTGCAGTAAATTCCTGGTAGATAAGGGAGATGGAGGATATTGCTGCTTCCAGACCTGAGCTGGTTCTTACACACATTCTTCTGCACAGGCTGCCACCCCGCCGTGTGCCACATAACAGGTTATTCTATAAAATACTTATTTCTTGATGATATAATCTGCTCCACAGAAGCTTGAGAAACTCTGGCAGTTGCATATAATTTTACTCTTGATCTTGAACGTCAAATCAGTGATTTGATTGTTAGCTTCTGAAGCCTTTTATCGCTTGTTAATTATATATGCTAATCTGGCACTAATAACCCCAGTATTGCTGCAGCAGTATCTGTTACTTCCAAAGATACAGTATTTTAATCTTCTTTAAAATTTCTTTAGACTTCCTTTGCTGCTTCCAAAGTATTATTTTGGGCACTCCTCCTGCCAGCATGGAATTCCAGTGAAATGACCACAAATTTCTCATTCGTCTCTTTTGTTATGAACAGTCTAATAGTGGAAGAATTAGTCGCTGTCAGTGCAGCGTTGGGTCGTATCTAATAGCAGTAAGTGCCTGACACACTCCTGAGTACATTGTGAGTTAGAGGAGGAGAATGGTATTGAATCCAGGGTTTGGCAAAAGTGTGTAAACACAGGCCTTGAACGCTTGCCAGATCACAGACATAGTCCATAAGTGAATATTTAATGTCAAAATTGCGACTAGAGATGGTGTGTCCTGACAGCAGGAACGTCTTTATTTAGTATTAAGGTTTTACATTTAAATCTGACAGTTTGGCTGCTCGACCAGCTGTTTAAAGTGAAGCCACGGGTAGGTTTTGAACTCATCAGGTATTAGATGGTAAGCAAGGCAAGCACAAAGCACATCTTACGCTTCTCCGTTGAAGACGGGTTTATTCTGCAGCATTGCTACTTGGAATTAATCTGCCAGGGCAAGCAGGGTGTGAAGCTTTGAAGGCCTTTCCCCCTGCCCCCCCCTCCATAAAGGCAGATTAAATGACTAAGCTGTATCAGTAAACATGCACCTGTTTGATCAGAGTGGAAGGAAGGGGTCTTTGCAGAATCC